GGGGCCGGGGGCTTTTGCTCGGGCCCGGGGGCTGCCGTGCTGCCCTGCAGTGCGAGGGAGGCAGCCCCGATCCAGCCAACCCCCCTTCCCACATTTCCTAGGGGCCAGGGGTTTCCAGCCGCCCCGGGGCAGATCCCTGCCCTGCCCAGGACTCACCAGGCTCCTGCCCCGGCCGGGATGAGAGATCGCTGCCTGGACACAGGGAGCTGCAGGGATTGGGAAGCCGCACTGCGCAGGGCGGAGGGACAGGGGTGTTTATACAGCAGCCCTGGGAATCCCAGCGGGGGCTCGGAGCCAGCAGGGAGCCCCCGGGACCTGGCCTCTGAGACTGACTCAGGTGGGAAACAGCAGCGGAGAATTAACCCTTTCCCCTCCCTGGCTGTGTCTGAGCCTCTCTCCTGTTGCACGCTAGTTAGAAAGGCCCTTGTGACACTGAAACTCCCGACAAAGTGTGGCCTTGTGTTTCCAATCAGCTCCAGACTGAGAACTCAGAAACTCTCAGCACCACACACACGTCTGAGGGAGTCTTGTCCCGTACATGGCTCACGCAAAGTGCTGGCAAACAGCATGAAGCTGACTCAGATTCACAATGCAAACCTTCTGCCAGGTAAACCCAGGAGCAGCCAGGGCCACATTCAGTATCCAGGGGCGCCTCCCCATCCATCCAACATGGAACACGTAGTAACCTGGGAAATTCACACCCCACCCCTGGGTGCCTGGGAGATTCAGGGCCTCCTCCCCGGCAAGCCCTGAGTCTGAGCGTAGAAAAGAAGCGTTTAGCAAAGGGAGGGTATGTCTACACTACAGCGTTATTTCGAAATATCTTATTTTGAAATCGTTAATTTGAAATCAGTTATTTCGAAATAACGCGTCTACCCACAAAATGCATTTCGAAATAGTGCGTCCACACTGAGTGGACACTGAATCACATTTAAGGCTGGCCAACACCAATTCCAGCAGGGTACCAGTTACTTTGTGTGGCTGCTGCCTGAGGCTATCTGAGGCCTGTGCTTAAAGAGACCCCCCAGACAGCCAGTTCTCAGCTTTCCCTGCTTGCTTGCCTACCTCAATGAGGGAAAGTAAAGCAGTTTGTCTCTGTGTGCTCTGGCTGTCCTCACTCGGGACACCACAGCACTCTGCAACATGGAGCCAGAGCTGCCCCTGGGCACTCTGGTGCTTCTTGTGGACACGTTGCTGTGAGCCTGGCTGCCATCCGGGAGGTCCATCGGACCCCCCAGAGCCAGTTCTCAGCTTTCCCTGCTTGCTTGCCTACCTCAATGAGGGACAGCAAAGCAGTTTGTCTCTGTGTGCTCTGGCTGTCCTCACTC